TTTTTCCAAGGGGTTAGGCTAACATACTTCCCAGTAGTTTCTTCCTCTTTTTTTTTTTTTTTTTTTTTTTTTTTTGTGTGTGTGTGTGTGGTGGTTCTGGAGGAGAACAGGGACAAAACCTAAAGGCACTAAACATATAATAAATAACCTTCATATACTTGGAGTATTGTAAAAATAAGAGGACCTCTAACTCACAAAATCAATTTATGTAATATCTCCAATCCAATAGATATGATACGTGTACAGCATATATAGAAGAGCTTGAAATGTATAGATTTTCATCCACAAACCAAATATGATGCTGTTGTGCCTAGCCCAAGTCTTAAAAATGCTTAGCAAAGTTTGATCTCCACAAGCTAGATAGATGGGATAAAGATCACATAAAATACCAGTGTTTTGAGGCACTGATGTTGATAGCCTTTGGCTAAAAAGACTAAATGGTGGAGGACAAAATCATTAGAGCACAGAAACAAGGACGAAACACGCTGAGATTGCTCTTACAAATTTTCATTAGTATATATTATCTGTTATTACAGGAAAACTGTCAAGTTTGTTTTTAGTTCTGCAATCAGCCATAATCACCTCTCTCAACCCCCACATCTTTAAAGAAACTAACTCCATCTCTCAATTAAAAGTTTCTGTCTACTCATGCAACTACCTATATCTACACTTTAATGAGTTGAAGTTAATCATTTCCCACCCATATCCAAATTTTCGAGTTTGATATTTATGGCATCCTTATTGAAATATTGTTTTGAAAAACTTTAAAAATTTATGCATGCACCACTGTGCCCTTATTCTTGGTTAATTCTAGCAATGAGAAACTGATTTCTAATTCAAACACAGCTATACATTAGAACTATATATGTATGCAACTCAATTGGATATATGGTCAATTGGATAATCCATATATCTTATCATTTACACCCTCACTATTCAATTTGCATAAACTTATATAAAAGTTAGGACAACTCCAGAATCTCCACAAGCAATTACACAATTCAAATGTAAACTTCCCATCTTTAACATTAGAATTTAATTCTTCAAATTACTAGGTAATCAGATCCCAAAAAATTCATCACAAAACGTCTCAAAGCAGAAACAAAAGTGAAATATAATGAATGTTATGCCAAACCTTGGATGTTGTGTACCCAGCAGCCAAAGCCAGCACAGGCTGCACTGCGATATAAAGCCCAGGAACATTAAAAGTTTCAAACAGAATCTCTCCAGTATATTCCCGACTTTCCGGCGCAGTCAAGGGACTTTCAGTCAACAAAAAGTAATGATCCTCTGGATCACATCGCAAATAATTATATATACACTGCTGCCAGAATCTTTCCATTGCATCCCAATTATCCACTTGACCGTGCTTAATGGGATAGCTCAAATTGTAAGTGCTACTAGATTTAGATCTAGACAAAGCTTCTTCCCCTATATAGAAATCCAGATCCGCCATCACCCCCGCGCTATGCTGCGCTAACCAATTGCTGCCTTTCGTAGAACTGGCACGCGGCTGGTTGACAAATGACTCATTTACAGCAACTACTGTGGGAAGTATGAAAGACGGTTCGACATTTCCTGCGAAACCCATCTTCGTATACCTGAAAGTAAACAAACCCAGATAAAAAGAAGAGTTCAGAAAAAATCCATTCCCGTAAGCCTCAACTAAGTTGATTTCACAAGGAATTTTTATCAAACAATTCGTATTAAATAAATAAAATAAAACAGTAAATACCCAGTTCCATTATCAATTACTACAGCGGGACGTGAACTCGCAGCATCCATGGGAACGAGGGAATAAAGGCAGCTGAGAGTTAAGAAGGGGTTTAAGAAGGATGGTGATCATGGTAGTTGAAATGGAAACGAAGGCGTTCGGTGGCAGTGAATCTGACTCAGAAATGTTGGGTTGGTGGAGGAGAAGATGAAAACTGTGGTGGGTGAGAGTTCAATTCCATCCATTTTATTGTTGGGTCAACAAATCCATAATCATTACAGTGAGTTTCTGTGCGTGAATTGAGTATTATGTGTTTGATGCAATTCCTTTCTTGGATGCTTTGCTTTGCAATTAAACAGAGGAATGATTCAAAAATTGCCTGGTTGTTTCTTGGATTTTGGAACAAAAGATGCAATCTTGGAGGCTAAAGTGCGTTTGGTGGACGGTTTAATAGGGTGTTGGCAGGGCCAGCGACTCTAGGCTGGATCTGATATGGACTATTGTAAATGGGGGGATTTGCTTAAAAGGACCAGTCAACAATAATCTTTGGTAAAATAGTCTATCTCAATACTTTTTGATTAACTAGCCTTTAGTCTATTTCATTATGTGTTAAAAGTCTTAAACACCCTTCATTTGAAATATCTAAAATATCCAATTTGAAACAAAAATTTACCAAATCCCCCAAACATAAATCCCCACTTTCATTCTACTTTTCATATACAATTTAAGACCAACGGTAAAATGGCATACTGTCGTTTTAAACGGCTGAATGCCGTTTTAACTAATTTTATGTTCGTATCAATTTAT